AGTGGAAGGACTAGCAACACAGAGACCATAGACAGAGGTCAGAGGTCAGGAGGCTAGTCATCGAGCCCTGGAGAGAGGATGCTAAAGAGAGGTTGACAAAAGGGGAATGGGGGTCTCGCTCTTATAGACGCAGAACAGATCTTTAAAAGGTTCTCAAAAGAATGGCACAGTCAATGTCTTACTTTAGAGGCTTGCAAACCTAGATGCACAATACCACAGCCTGGGGACCTGTCAAGGCCTAGGTACAATGCGGTCCCCAACTCAAGCCGCTGAATCACAATGTCCGAGTACTATTTGTTTTAAACATGCTTCTCTAGGGCTCGTGTACACAGCTACAGATAAACTACATTGGTCAATCTGTTACACGACACTGCAAATAAAAGGCAAGGGACTTGTGGAGGTGGCCTTAGCAGTGGTGAGGCTGCTTTGTGCACAGAATGTCAGTCTTAGCACAGAACCCGGTCTAAACTACAAAGAAAAAACAGTATCACAATAAGGTCATGTACGTATTAGTTACATAAAACCACAGAAAAACGTACAGCATCTAAAAGCTTCTCTGTCTACCCTCAAACAGTTTGGCTGTAGCAGGGTCTACGCTAGGTTTACTTACTGGCCTGGTGACCTGCACGGAGAAGGCAAGCTCAGCAAGGAAGAAGTTCAACAAAACTTTCTTTGTCCAACAAGCATTTTTATATTCCTTTATAAAAAATTACATTTCAAGGTCATTATGAACTTGTTGACAGGGAAGGAGATAAAATTTAACAGAAAACTAGGGCCCTGCCCTCATTTAATCAAGGTTCTCAGTCCAGTACCCAACAAAGCCCTTCTTCCAACCTTTTCAACCTTTTAATACAGTTTCTCATGTTGGGGACCCCCCAACCATAAAATTATTTTCATTGTTATTTTGTAACTAATTCTTCCACTGCTATGAATCATACTGTAAATATCTGTGTTTTCTAATAGTCTTAGGTGACCCCTGGGAAACGGTCATTCAACCCCAAAATGGTCATGAGAACTAGGCTCAGCAGCAAGAATACTCAGATTCTAACCCAGTACTCCCTCCTCACACTACAGAGCGGGTGTAGCTTCTGAAGAACAAGACTTGCTTCCTCACTCCCAGGCTTAACCATCAACCATCAGCATGGAGGCATGTATGGTGTCCAAGGCAGGGTGTGGAGACACTTCTGTATAGAGGAGTGTTAACAGACCACGGGGATTCACAGCCTCATAAAACTAAAGGGGAAAAAGGCAGCTATAGCTTAAAGAAACCAGGTCAGATCTAATGAGAAGCAAGGCAGATTTTTCCTTTCCTATTAGCCTGCTGGCTTGCTTGCTTTTCCAGAGAATCTGTTATCATAGCGCTCTTTGTTCAGAAGGGTGGATAAGGAATTAGGAAATGAATATAAGGAAATAGGAAGTAACCCACCAGATGATTTTCCCCCTTGTTTGGAAAGAGAAACCATTAGTTTCTGCAGAAGCACCTACAGGCCGAAATTCCTTCATTCTCTGCAGGAGGAAAAGGGTTAAGTAGAAGCAGCACCCCAGTGCGCAGCAGGGCAGCCTGGGCTCACACCTGTCCTCCACTCCCCTCCCCCAGCTCCTCCACTCAGAGCTTCTGTCATTTCCTTCTTCCTTTCTTTGTAATTCCCTGGCTGGGAATGCCCAGAGATGTCTGTCCTATTTCTGGGCAGATGAAAGGTAGAGCTGCAGAAACTGCTGGAATTTTCTCTAACATTTCTGAATGTTTCAAGTCAGAACCTGAACCGTGAAAGAAAAGAAAGTCTTTGAAAACAGCTTCAATCACTTCCCACAATCACAAACAAATATCCAATGGCTACACTCGGCTCTTCTTTTGTATCTACAAAAATAAAAGAGTATGTGCAAAAGAAAAAGAATGTTGAAAATTATATTCCAGTGGATTCCACTGCAGCTTGCTATCTGGGTGCACTGTTACTAATTCCTAAATAGAAGGGAGTTTATCATAGCTTGATGAAGAATTCAAAGCTGCCTGCAAAACAAGACCCAGGTGCTTAGTGGTTTGTGTGTTCCGTACCTGCGTTCTCTATTCTTCTTTGGTAAAATATAAAGACTAAATCCATCTATTCATTCATCCATTCACTCAGTCATTCCACACACATCACTGCACCTCCTGTGACTGGTGTTACCAGACAGGTAAGATATGCAGAATCATGAAATCACTTTGGTGATTGCATAAGGATCAAATTATTTAGAAAAATTGTTAAGTAGATTGCGTTTAAGCATCTCTAAAATTTTGAAACTCAGCTTGATTTGGTAATAAAATAGTGCATAAATTGTTGAGGTTTTTCTGTTCTATTATTGATTTAAGTAATAAGAGAAATAAAAGCCTTCTCTTGGAGCCCTGGCATTCTCTTCTCTGTTCTATTCCCCTGGCCAACATCTTCCATTTCAGTTCAACACCAGGGGATCATCAGGTCTGGAGCCTACTGCAGGGGCTTGTACACACACTTCCACAAGTAGGTATCCCCTGGAGAAAGGTGTGAAACATCTCTTGTTTGGTTGTTCTTCTAGCTTATGGTGGGTAGAGGAATGAAGGAATGTCAGAACAGCTCATTCAGGCTTCCAGAGATGTCTACCTCTTTCTTTCCTATGCCATTTCTCCCTCAGCAGCACCGGGGCCATGTGTAGGGGCTACCATATGGCCACACGGGCCCCATATGGCTCCATCTCACAGAGAGACGCTCAAGAACATAAAATCGCTGCTGTATACTTTTATGGCAGCCCCTTCTCATTCCCCCCATCTGCCCTCCAGATGGCTTCTGCACCTCTATTAGACTCTCATACATGAAACTCTGCTATGAGGCACTGCCCAGCTGACCTAGGTGTCCTCACCTGTCAGTGACAAGGGACGTCCAGTACTTTAAAAACTTAGTACATTTAGTATTCAAACTAGAACAGACCATTTGAATATATGTATTTTATATCTTTAAAACTTATCAACAAAACCCACATGGTCATTCTCTCCCTGAAGTTTCAGAGAGCCACGCCATTGTCCCATAAGACCCTCTCATATCCACACATCAACCACTTTCTACAAAACTGGTTTTTTGATTTTCATGAAATTCTCCTTTGATGAGAAGAAAAGTTATTACTGAATATTTTTTCAAATGTCTTTAGAAAATTTTGAAGAAGCACATGTGTCCACGTGTTCTTCACTGAAATTGAATAAATGAGCAAGAAATCAGGTGCTGCCGACTGAACTCCCTATGTTAGGACTCGAAGGTCTAGCCACTGTATCCTGCACCTCTCTGTTTTTAGGTGTTTGTCTGAAGAGGCATATGCAACCCTAGGCTCAGTATAGCTGAGAGGAAAGCAGAAATAAATGTCACTAGAGAATATGCGTATTCCATTCAAATAGGCCACAACTCCTGGCGTTAGAGACATGAAGGTGACAGTCATCTCCAGTCCCAAGTGCTGAGTCTGTTCCTGAGGCCAGGCCAGGCTGCAGTGTCAGTGAGCAGTGGAACACTTCCTGGTCTGCTGGAGGCCCTGGGTTTCATCCCCAGAAGCACAAGAGATTAAAAGGTATGTACAGACTGAGTAAAGTCATGGGGGGCAGGGGGAGGAGTAAACAAATTATTGTTAACTAATGTCTGTGCTTATGAGGTTAAGAAGCAGAAGCCATTTCGTCCCTCCAGCGCTTCATCCTGCCCAGTGAGTCCCACCCTTTCTGTGACAGACAACTTGCCCATGCTCTCTTCTCAACAATCTAAGGCAACCAACACAGGGGAACTCATCTCATGATTACTCTGCAGGCGGAGCATTGGAATGCTGCTCAAAGACACACAGTGTCAATTTTAGAGATACAAAATAACCCAGCGAGTGCCACAGGATACTTTTATTTTATTGAGAATAGCTTATTTTGTGTGTCTAAGCAATAACTTATTCTTTCTCAATTGTATGCAAAATAAAAACTCGACTTTTAAATTACAATGATATCCTAAGATACATGGTTGGGTCATGCAGTTTTTTTTAAAACTACTCACACACCATTGCTTCTCTTACTATCCTTTGTGAAGTGGCAGACAGAACTACTGGGACACTAGGAAACTTGCTCCTAGGCTGGCATTTCAGTCTCTTCTGTGTACAAAACTCAACCAGTTACTCTATACTATGCAAGCCTTTTCTGGAAGCAAACAATCCGCTGCACACCGAGGGGCCACAGGTGCCTTTGTGGCAGCGAAATGTGTGTGGCAGTCATCAGATCAAGTCTCAACTTCAGGCTGCTGCCAGAGGCCTGCTCACTGGGTTAACTGCTCTGGGCTGAAACAGATTGCAAGTGCTGGTTCAGAGAAGCAAGCACTCTTCCTTCTATGAGAAAACGTGTTTCCAAAGGAGTGCAAAGCTAAAAGCTATATGGTCTTTTGGTTTCAGCTGAACGAATGCCAGGACACCTGAGCAATATGGCTTTGATCTCTGGTCAGGGAAGCAGCGCCACATGGGGCACTGCAACCCTTGCTCTGGGCAGCAGTTTGTGACCACTTGGGAAGAGGCAGAAGTTGCTGTAGCAGCTGAGGGGTTGCAGGGATTGCTTACATTTGGGCAGGGAAGCTGCTCTCAGCACTCAGCATTTCCTGCAGACCAGGTGAAGCCTCTTGGCAGCCCCCTCCCCTTATAGGGCTTTCCATAGCACAGGAGCTATTGAATACTGGCTTCTTGCCAAGTGGCTTTACGTGAGACTTGGCAAAAATTACCAACCATACACATCTGCCTTCACCTCATTTTCTTTCCACAGCTCCTTCCCAGGCAACAGCCCAAGAACTACATGTGTCCATTTACTGGATGGAAACAAACAGCACAGGCATAGGGAGAGCCACACAAAGCATATGCTTTCCCAGCCATCCTGATTTCCCAAACAGTGGGAATCTCGCCCCTGGGGATACTGACAGGCACCAGCTGCTGATTTGGGGAGAGGAGACCTCACGCACACACTCCCACCCCTCGCCCTCATTCCAGCTTACCTGTTTCTTTGTGCTGAACCTCTGCCAGGTGCAAGTCATTCAGAAGGTGCTCTAAGATCTTCTCCGGGGTCCCGGACACCACCATATATCTGTCAGAGAGCAGAGAGTCCACTGAGTCATCCTCCGTGGAAGACTGCGAGCGGCTGCTCCATTCGTCGTCCTCATCTTCTTCATCGATGTATTTGAAATAAGGCACATCGAAGGTAGGCAAGGGCAGCTGGCGCCCTGAGAGCGCCTCGGAATCTTTCCTCTCTAGATGGGGGTCAAAGACCCGCAGGCGGGAGCTGCCCATTGTGAACGGTGTCTAACAAAGGCATCCCCTAAAGGCTAAAAGATCTTGCCATCCTGGTCCTTTCACAGGGAACTAAGTCCATCTGGCTGCTAAGAGCTCTGCAGTCAGCTAGAACGCTGGAGAGGCGGAGAGAAAAGAGGGAGGGGAGGGAGGGAGAGTAGGGCAGGCAGCAGCAGAGCGAGTGAGTGAGAGGGAGCAGGGAAGGGAAGCAACGCGAAGGGAAGGAAACCCAGAGCGTGCCTGGGCTGCAGGGACTCTCACCTCGCATCTCTCTCTCTCTCCGCACTCCCCGTGGTGGGGGCTGGGCCACAGCTTGCTACTTTCTTCAGCACCAGCACACTCTGGCCTTGCTCTTTAACTTGAACCATCGGGACTTCATCATCTTGCTTTAATTGTCGATCAGCGTGATGGATAAGAGAAGGAAAGGAGAAGAGAAAGATTAAAAAGAAGCCAACTAGCTTCACTTCATTTCTTCAAAGAGCTGGAAAGAATTAGCAGTGTGGTCAGGCATCAGTTCAGAATCTAGGCTCAAGGTCTCTGGAAACACAAAAGGCCATGAAGACAGAAGAAAGTGTGTGTGTGTGTGTGTGTGTATTTAGGATTTGAAGAGTTTATTTTTGAAACTACCTTCAGGAACAATTTGATTTTGAGAATAGAAAGTTTAAAAGTTTCAAAATGTACAGCATACTACTTGCTGTGAGCAGTCTTCTACCTGGCTGATGTTGCCTAAACATCATTAAAATTGGAAAATCACAGCGTAACTACATTTAACACTTAGAAAATTAGTCAAGGCTTGCTTTAAAGGGTGGGCAAATGGCTAACTATTGGATAGCTCATGTCAAACTCTGCCACTCTCCCTGGATGGACACACACACACACACACACACACAGAGGGGGAGGGGAGGGACACCCATTGTAGGACTTTTAAATTTATCAAGCATTCTTTTATCGGAGTACAAGCAAAGATGGATGTCTAGTTAGAATGTTATCTATGCTAAACCCTGATGCCATGGGCCCCTGCACTGACTTTCTTCATCTCTGTCCCTTTTTAAACAGGCGAGAAGCTTAACCATCATTCATTTCTGCACACACAGCTTCCACAGCACAGGGCCAGTGCCTGACCTGGCTCAGTCAGGGCAAGCTCACTGCTGATCCAGCAGTATGGGCCCAAGTCTGAGCTTCAGACACAAACTTCAGGGCATTTGCTATGAAGCTCTCACTGTGCAGTAACCCAGCCCCAGCAATACTGCCAGAAAAAAAGAACTATAAGAGGCACAAAAGAAAATCCAACTTCTTTGTTGCCGATGACTTGAAATAAAATAATAATAATAAAAAAGAATAGAGCAAGTAAAGTTGAGAGCAAGTAGGTTTCCTCTTGAACATGATGTCAACTGTTTGCAAAGGCAGCTGTGCTGGTGCACTTCTGCTACCGACAGGACCCACCTGTAATTAGGAACAGACTCAAAGAAGGGCATCCTGCCATCCTGCATGGGTAAAAGTGCCTTATCCAAACGCCTTGTAATTGCTTCAACAGACCCGTCATGGATATCAGTGTATTTTACTCTTTTTTTTTTTTACAAGACTAGAAAGGCATTGATATCACCATAACTGCTAAGCAAATCAGCAAATGACTATGACCTCAACTCCCAATTTCTAATAAAATGTAAGTATACTGGTTTTTCTTAAAAAATAATAATATTGGTCATTCTAAACAGCAATATAATTGTGCGATCATCCTTTTTAAATCTCCTACTGGCAAATAATTTTGCTAGGAAGAACCGGTGTATTATGTTTCAGCAAGGTCAGACACATGGTGTCTGTGGCAATTAATGCTGGATATTCATTGTTCAACTCCCCAAGGAGGCCAGTGTGAGTCCTGTAACATGAATACCAATGTGTAATTGCTATCGTTCATTTCTCCAAGCAGTTCTTTTGTTATCCATGCCGGTGAAGTGGACCAAAGTAGCTGGAGAGAGGGGCATATTTGGACCAAAACATGGGGGGTGGAGAACAGAAGAAGGCTGGGATGAGCTACATTGAATAAGGCAATTCTATTATTTGAGAGAACAGATATGAAAAGACAAAAATCTTTCCCTGGCTTCCTCTAATCGTCAGACAATATTCATTTTATATGAGCTGCTGTCATTCTGAAGTACATTTTACATCCTATGTGCACATGATAGATGGCATTATTAACTTTGCAGGCTGCACACATACATATGGATGGGCAGAGTTTCTAATGTCTGTGTAAGTGATATGCATTACATGGCTTGCACACAGCAGTCATACTTTACTGGGCAGGAGAATAGCTGAATCAGGTTGATGCACTATCAATAGCATCTTATGTCATTGTAATAGGTTCCATTTTGAAACCTGTTAAAAATAAAGAAGAGAAAAAGCAGAAAAATCAATGAGTAAGGGGAGATGTAAATTCTTGAAACCTGCTGTGAAAACACAAGAATCCTGTGTCCTGTAACCATCTATGAAGGAGGGTTAAATTAAGGCTTCCTACTATGGGCACCTTTCCCTTATTTCTCTTCCTATAAAAAAATAGGAAAAATAGCATCATTGAGGTTGTATTATGAAATTTTATTTTAGTACTTGATAGAGTAAAATAAATATTAGGACTAATGATGGATATATGTTCTATGATAGATTGTCCATGAAGCATTAAAACTTCTAATTGACAGTCATTTATGTAACAAATAATGAGGTCCTCCTTTTGGGTAGTGTCCCTGCTGGACACTCAGTGGCAAGCAAAGACGAATAAGACAAGCCTGCTCGACTCTAAGTTAACTGCCCCATGAAAACCCAAGTACAGTTTGGTGCACATTCTAAAGCAATGCTTCTCAACCCTCCTCACGCCGTGGCCTTTATATAGCTCCTCATGTTGTGGTGATGCTCAACCATAAAATTATGTTCTTTACTAATTTATAACTAACTGCTACGGTTAGGAATGTAATGTAAATGTCTTGTGTTTTCTGGTGATCTTAGTCAACTCTTGTGAAATGGTTGCTAGGGGTCTCAACCCACAGGTTGAGAACTACTACCCTAAGGTGTTGCTAAGTGCAGGGGAAAAGGAAGCAGAAAACATGGGGTTTGGTGGTCAAAGATAACTAAGTGGCCTGAGAGACTGAGAATGCTGTTAAACAGGACAAGGACCTAGAGGAATGATAACTCAGATCAAACAATGATGTTTTATTGGTAGGACAGAGGACTGTCGATGTTTACAAGGCAGTTAGAAGGAAAACACAGCTTTCTGCACAAAGGCCAAGGAGAGGGACAAATTTGCTAATAATTCAAATTTTGGCAGTTGATGGCATTAAGGTGGAACCAAAAAGTGGGCAGAGAAGTGGGATTTAATGAGAAAAATCGAGTGAGAGACCAAGAAGGATAGAGACAGTCTCGGGGAAAGCATTCAGAGATGTGGAGCAGCTGGAAAGAGAATCCCAGGAGCAGCGTCAGCAGGTCCGAGGATGAGCCAAAGCCATAGCCCGGGCGCTCTGGAGGCAGAGGGTCACTGACCAACACACTCACTGTGACTTTGAAAAGGGGCCTAGATTATAGCTCAGTGGTAGAGAAGTACTCCACAGGTAAAGGAGGAGGGAGGGGGAGAGGGAGGGTGAAAAGGATGTTGAGTAAAGGAAGAAGGTGGGAGGGGGTAGAACCTGAGGATTTCAATATGTAGGGCTAGGCCATCCTGAAAGCCTGTGCCCTAGCTAAGAATGGGGAGTAGGAGCAGAGAACACAAATGCAGGATCAACCACGAAAGAGATGGAATCCGCTGGCTCAGTGAAGCAGAAATAAGGAAGCCGGACAGATCACATGCGATGGCTTCTATCTTAGTAACAGGTACTGAAGCAGCTTCTGGAGGAGGGCTGTGTGGTGCGGTTGGTAGCCTGAAGAAGATATTATTGGGAAAATGGCCTCAGGGGTGCAGCATAAGCTACTGAAGTTAGAATACACACTCGTCTCTGTGAGTTCGAGGCCAGCCTGGTCTACAAGAGCTAGTTCCAGGACAGGAACCAAAAAGCTACAGAGAAACCCTGTCTCGATAATAAAAAAAAAAAAAAAAAAAGAAAAGAAAAGAAAAAAGAAAAAAAAGAATACACACTTGTGCTTTTATGACCTTCTGCAATAAGGGCTCAGGAACCATAAGGAATACAGTGACTGGTGAGGCCCATCCAGGGTAAGAGACAGCAAAGAGACATCAGAAGTCAGAGTGAGGAGAGGACCCAGGACTCAAGCATACTAGGAAAATAGCCGTTCATCACAGAGTGCCTGCCTGGCTATGGGAGGGGAAGCTCAACCGTGAAAACTGAGGGACTGCTGACTAGCTACCACATGGGCCAACAGCAGAGGCTTGAATCAAGGTGGCAAAGGTTCATTGCCAACAGCTCTGGGTAGTGAAGGCCAGCAGAGGAACAGAGGCCCTGAAGTGGGTTTCATATTTACAGCATATAAAATGCTGACAGCTTCCTAAGTGGCTAGTGTATTAAGAGCATCTTCAGTGTAAGTTCTGCAGCTTGAGCAGGTCCAGAACTACAGGAACTATCCCTTTCCACACACCCACCTGAATTTATGCTAATGAAGTCACATTGGGAAAGTCACCAAATAACCCCACCATAGAAGGCCTGGCTGCCAAGAGAACCAACCACCTCCTCAGAGGGCTGGGGCCTCACAGCTCCTGTCCCCACCTCTCAAGGTCTCACTGATCACCAACGGCCAATGAATTCACCAGTCATGCCTACACAAAGAAGTCTGCATAAAAATCCCTAGGGCACTTTTCAATGGGCTTCTTGGAAGGTGAATAAGAGTTCATCTACCTGTCCAGAGGGCAGCACATCCCAGCTGCAGAGAAAGGAACTGTTGTCCCTGAGACCCTTCTAAACCTTACCCTCCGTATTCCTTTGCTGTTCATTGTGTTCTTTAAAATATTCCTTACAATAAACTGCTAAGCAAGTTTTCCTGGGTTCTGTAGCCACTTTAGAAAATCAATTGAGCCAAAGGGGGGGGGGGGCGTTGTGGAAAACTCCATATTATGGCCAATAGATCAGAAGCATGGGCAAAACAAACCAGAGATTGTGACTGGAATCAAAATTTGAAACAGCCTTATAGTGCTTAGTGCCTAGCTTGTGGGCTCTGGTGCTATTCTCTGGTAGACAGTGTCAGAATCCAGCTGAACTGTGGGTAACTGAGCTTGGACGACAAAGAACTGCCCATCTTTCTTGTTGGTAAGGAAACCACTTTACCACCCCATGCACATGTGGTCACAAAAGTGTTCCATGTTGTTAGCTGAGTGGTGTTCCCCTCACCTCGCATTTCCAGGCTCTGACACGGCCATGTTCAGCTGGGTTTGGACATTTTGTTTAACTGTTCTATAGGG